CGTACAGTTTGACAGCCTGCTTTTTTACGATCTGTGTTGTATCGCATATTAACCCCTGGGTGTGGAGTCAGCCCTAAGTTCCACTCCCAGTGACATTTTTGAGCAGCTCTGTGATCCTTAACCACTTAACCACTCTGAGCTTCATCTCTCATCTATTAATAGAAGGTGAAGTAGCGCCACCTTGTGTGGTGGCCAGAGGATTGAAGGTCCTTCCTACCTGGCACATGGTCAGCAGTTGGTACGCGTTCATTTGTCCTGAGAACATTCCCTGTGGAATGTCCCTGTGGATGTAGTCCTTGGAGCACTAATGTTCACTGTCTTTGTTTCATGTGAGTGCACCCATGTATCACTAAACAGTCTGCAGGATATTTGGAGGGTAGTAACAAGGCTATAAGAAGGAGAAAGCTTTATTGACTCTGAGGCCAGTGGCCGGTGGGTTAGAACAGATCTTCAGGACCAGTGAGAGAAGGGCGAGCGCTGATGGCTACAGCACCAACCCAGACGCACCCCATTCAAATCCAACAGCTGCTCCACAGGAGAAAGACAGGCAGTCAACTCCCGTGCTATTTGCTGCATCTGAAAACCCACTGTAGAGTCTGCTATGAGTTGGTTCTGACTCGACAGCACACAGCAACAACAAAGTAGGAGCAGGAGCAGGAGCCCATCACCAGACTGAGATGAACAACTACTCATCTCCCAGCTCAGCATCCTTGGGAGGCTGGCCCCGCAGACAAGCCCTTGTCACCAGTCAGATGGAGACAAACGAGGGGACGTAGGACAGCAGCAAGAGCCAAGACAGAAGGTCTGGCAGGACTGATTTATGGGAAGAGGGAAGATGTGTGGACTTAAATATGCATGGTGTGGATAAACAGAGGCTCAGAGGAGACACCTCTGTCTGCGAGGATTTAAAGAGCGTGATGTGGGCCAGCAAAAATGTGTCACTCAGCCCAGTGAATGAGGGTTTGAAGACAGAGGGCAGATGAAGAACTAAGGAGAAATTCTGGTTTAAACGTTCAGAGATGAAGGGAGCTTGTGAGTGGTAGGCCTGGCGGGCAGGGCATGGCCCCCTCCACTGTTCAGGTCACCTGCTGGGTCTTCCTGCCTGGGCTCTTGTTCCCCAAGCAAAGCCTTTTTCATGGAGTGGCCCAAGGATACCAGCATCTGAACCATGTACTTCAAAGTATCTTCAAGGTACTCAAGCGATGGTTTCCACCACATCCTGAACAAAGCCTCTCCTTTGGGCCATGGTCTCTCACTCTCCTCCACTCTTTCAGTCTCCAGAGTAGAGTTCGTCTGGTGCCAGAGTCTTCCCTAATGTTCTTGCCTTTTTCCAGAAGGTTCTCCCCTCTTCCCCAATAACTTTTGATCCTCCTTCAGGTCTTAATTTAAGATTCTGTTCTTCCTGGAATGCTGTTCTTCTCCTATTAGACAAGTTAAAATCCCCTGTGATATGCACTTCTTCATAGCATATGAGCACTTAGAACAATCAAAATTAATTAAAGATGTGTGGTGGTTTTAAATTAATGAGCTCTGGTGGCATAAGCCTTAGGGAGTTGTGCTACTAATCCAAAGGTGACGCTTCTCGGGTGGTTCAAATCCACTGGTGGGTCCTCAGGAGAAAGGTGGGCAGTCGCCTCCCGTGCAATTTATAGCCTCCAAAACCTGCTGGAGGGTCAGCTGTGAGTCAGCGCCAACTCGACAGCAAGGAGCTGAGTTAATTAATAGGCTCTGGTTTTAGAACAGTTTTAGGCTTACAGAAAGGAGAGTGTTTCTCTGCGTTCCTCTCTGCCCCATCTTCCCTCACTCAACTCACTCACTCATTTCTGTCCAGTCAGAACCGACAGATAGCTGAGCCTCCAGCAGATTTTCAAAGACTGTAAATAAAAAATCATATGAGAGCAGTTTTTGAGAGGAATATCACTGCTTTCCCAGATCTGAAGTAAAGTGCCTGGGGGTGTGTGTGTGTGTTATGAGAGGAGTGTGTGTGTGTGTGTGTGTGTGTGTGTGTGTGTGTGTGTGTGTGTGTGTGAGAGAGAGAGAGAGAGAGAGAGAGAGAGAGAGATATGAGAGGAGGATGGGTGTGTGTGTTCTCATAGGAGAGGAGAGGACTCGTCTTTCTCCCGTGGAGCAGCTGGTGAATTCAAACCATGTGAGTTGAGCACAGCTCCTCCCCAGCTAGACCACCACAGCTCCCACCTTGTTGTTGTTATGTGTCTTCAAATCCTTATTATTCACATCTTGCCTTTCTATGATACTTTTGTTATAACTGATTAACCAATATTGTTCTTATTAAAGTGTATAGTTTGCCTCAAGTGGTTAAGTGCTCTGCTGTTAACCAAGAGGTTAATGGTTTAAACTCACCCAGAATGGGTGGAAAAAAGGCTTGGTGGTCTGCTTCCTACAGCTTACATCCTGGAAACGCCTGCGGAATGCAGCTCCAACCTGCACTCCAAGGTGCAGAGGCCATGAGCAGAACTGATTGGACAGAAACTGGTCTGGTTTTGGTTTACAGTTTACCTAAGGGCTCACTCTTTGTGTTATTCAGTCCTGTGGATTTTCCTATCTCGTCCCTTGTGATTAACTGCCTCATAAAATCTGCCTGAGGGTCAGCTGTGGGTCAGTTTCAACCTGATGGTATACAATAACAATGGGTTTTGATAAATGCATAATAATCAAATATCCACAGTTACCAAACCATGTACAACAGTTTATTTGTCCTAAATATCCCTGCGACTCACCTGTTGTCTCTCCTCCCTGCCCCCCACAAACCAGTGATCTTTGTACAGTCTCCCTGCTACACCCTATGCCCATCAGGGCGGGGCCCCATCTGCCGTGTTCCCATTACACCCACTCTTCCAAGCTCAGAGCCTGGCACATACCAGGTGCCCCATAAATATTTTTCTTTGCATATTTTAATGAAAATAGGATTCTACCAAACACGTTATTCTGCAATTTGCTTTTTACAAATATTGACAATATATCTTGGAAATCTTCCCGTACTGGAATATAGAGCGCAATCTCTCTCTCTTTAACTTTTTATTATGGAGAATCTCCAGCCTGCATGCACAAGTGGAGAGAATCTGCCGTCACGAGCTGCTGTAATCTGCCATCACGAGCTGCTGTCTACCTGTCACCCAGTCAGCAATCATCTCTACTCGTGGCCCCTCTTGTGCCATCGGTAGCTCTCCCTTTGTCCCCTTTCTCTTGTTATTTTGGAGCAAATCTCAGATATCAGATAGTTTCATCTTTAAATATTTTCGTGTGTATCTCCAAAAGAGAAAGATTTTTCTGGACCCTGATCACAATACCCTCATTACTCCTAATAAGCGTTCATTGAATATTAGCACATATAATCAGGGATCCCTGGTGGCCTAGTGGGTAAAGAGTTGCACTGCAAATCCAAAGGCAGGCAGTTCAAATCCCCTGGCTGCTCTGAGGGAGAAAGATGGACAATCTCTTGTGTGAGTCAGTTACAACTCAGTGGCACACAACAACAATAAATCAGTATCTGAGTTTCCAGTTTTCTTATAAATGTCATTTTCATGAGATTCTTTTTACAGTTTGTTTGACTCAAGAACCAAATAAGGTACTTGATGTACTTTTCAAGCTTTTCTTTGTCTATGCCTCTTCTCAAAATGTGTGTTGTTGTTTTGTGTATTTTCTTGCTCTTGAAATTCATCTATTGAAGAAACTGGGTGATTGCTTCTGGATCCTTCATCCTGGGCTTTGCTGATTGCAACCTGGAGGTAGTTTTTGGTGTGTTCCACTGTCCTCTGTATCCCTCGGTTGCAGGTGGTGGGACCTGGAGGCTTGATCAGTTTAGATTCATTTTGTTTGGATGTTGCTTATCTGTTGTGGGGGAGCGCTCCCCACTGACTCTGCTCACCTGTCTGTGATGTTCTCAAAGATTCAATGGCTGGAGCCATTCATTCATTCCTTGTTGTTGTTGATGTCAATTGCTGTCTAGTCGACTCTAGATCCTGGCGATCTCACACACAACAGAACAAAGCCTCCTGCCCAGCCGTGTGCGGCCTTGGAGACCCGCTGGTATGTTTGAGTTCATTACTGTGGCTGTTGTCGTCTGCCTCACAGAGAGTCTCCCTCAATGATCTTTTCATTCTCTAATATCTTCTTCAATTAGCTGCAATGCTTCTATAAAGAGAAACTTCCCCTCATTAGCTTTTTGGTTACCCTGAGGTACAGTTGCTATAGGCCAAGCAGGATAAAATGCTCGAGTCTTTCCCTTTATTTACCAGTTTTCAGAATAATGAGTTGCCCATAAATATTTGAGCAAATGAATGAATAATGCATGCACAGATGAATTGACAGGGGTTTGGGAGCCGGAACTTCTCTTTGACTGTGAAGCTGAGAACCTGGACCTCAGGCAGAGGACAGAAGTGCAGCCCCCATCTGCGGCCGGGCTGCTGTCTCCATAGTGAGAGGTGGATGGGCCCCTCTCGGGGCCTCTCAACCCAGTTGTCCTTGATTAAAAGGCTCAGACAAAGAATATAATATTACTCTGTAAATTGTCATACAAATCACAATAAAAAGATTTTAAATAGAAATGTGAAGACAGCATCTGGGACGAAAACGTCTCAGAGCCCCACCCTAAGCAGGAGAAGTGTGTTAGGAAACCTTGAAACCACCATCCATGAAGAGTGTGAGCAAGCAACTACAGGTCCAGAGCAGCTCGCATGCTGGGAAGAGGCTCAAAGTGTAATTGTTCAACATCAAAGAAGGAGTCTGGAGTTTTCAGGGGAAAGGAGTGTGGGGCAGCTTGGGCTGGGACCTCCAGGTCCTTTCCAGGCCTCCAGCACTGTTAGAATCCCCTAACTTTCCTTCCCCGGGGCAGGGGGGACGGGGACACTGAGCCTGCCCTCAAAGCCCTCCAGCTCTCCTTCCTCAGGGGAGCCTGCCCTCAAAACCCCCCAGCTCTTCTTCCCCAGGCCCAGAGCCTGCCTGCTGCTAACTGATGTGTCGCCTCCCTCTGTGTTCCCCAGGTGCAAGTGCAACCTGCACGCCAACCTGTGTTCTGTGCGCGAGGGCAACCTGCAGTGTGAATGTGAGCATAACACCACTGGCCCGGACTGCGGCAAGTGCAAGAAGAACTTCCGCACGCGATCCTGGAGGGCTGGCTCCTACCTGCCGCTGCCCCACGGCTCCCCCAACGCATGTACGTATCAGCAGAGCCATTGTTGCCACGACCCAGCTCCTGGGCCACCACCTCATGGGCTCACCCATCCTTCCAGCCCTGGAAGCTGTGGATCTCACACCCCCACCACCACTTCTCCACGGAATCTTTCATATCTGATTTCCTGAACCCTCCCCACCTCCATGCCAAGTGTCTCTGGACCCTTGGTCCTCACACATATACACACACATACACAGAGATGGACACACAGAGACAGACAAACCACAGATACAGACCTGCACACAGAGACACATCACAGGCATACACACCCTTGTCACTCAGCTCCCTAGCACCAGGCTTGGTAATCTAGATGCTTCATCACACCTCCATTCCCCTGAAATCTAAACTGCCCGTCCCGCTCTGCCCACAGGGAATCAGCCGTGAGCAGCTTCCCAGCTTTCCTTCCTCTTCTTGACCCTGATACCTGGGCATGTGGCCACTGGGATGACAGGGTCAGGGTGGTGGGATTCACCCTCCAGGCTGCATCTGAGAAGCAGCCCTAGCCCTGGCAGTTAGCAGCAATGGGGTTCTCACAGCCAGTGGCCAGGACCCTGGCCTTACAGGACTTGTTTTGTAGAGGTGCATTCTGCCCACTCACGCTCTCTCCTTCTCACTCCCTGGAGAAGTGACCTGCAGCATTTTTTCAACGCCTGCCCTTAGGAACACCCTTTAAGACACTCCAGTTCATTGGGAGCCATTGATAAAGTTGGCCTGGGCCACATTATAGACACAGTTACCACCACAAAAATCACTAAGCACAAGAAGCCCCAGTTGAACTGAGAAAGGCCCCCCTGACTGGCCCAGGGAACACTCCCCAGGCTTAGTCCTACAGTGTGGTCTCAAGTCTGACCTTGCTTCCTGAATGCCAGTGACTGCACCAGGCACATCATCTGTTGACCTGGATACCAGTCCGCTGAGCAATGTTCTAGATACTCCACCCTCCTGCCCTCTGGATGGGCAAACTGAGGCCCCAAAAGCTCCTGCCCACACCAGTGAATTAAGTACCAGCACCAGGACCTGGTCTGATACCAGGGCAGCCAAGCAGCCCCTGTCTGCCTAGGCCCCCTCCCTCAGTGGGTGAAAGATTGATGTGATGTTAGGCTGATCAAAGTTGAAAGTAAGGCAGTGAGACTGTGACAGGTGTGCGGTGCCTGGGCCCAGGAAGGCAGCAGTCGTGACAGATCTTTGAAAGGGCAGGCATGGGAGGCATGATTCTTCAAAGGTGAAGAATGAGGGCGAGATGCTGACACACCCGCCCCACCCGTGGTTCTGTCCATCTCTCTGTTGCCCTCAAGCCTTCCTTTCCACCTCTTTTCCTTCTCTCCATGACTCCTGGTCTTGTCCTCCCTCCCTTAAATCTATCTTGAGGCCTCCTTTCACCTCTCCTCATTCCTGCCCATCCCTCACTTCTCTGTCACCTCCAATTTTTCCCCTCCGCTTGCCCCTTTCTTCTCCTGAGATGCTCCAGGAACTCCTGTGAGCCCAACTCCCACAACCAACCCATAGAAGCCATCACAGCAGGCCAGGCTCCCAGTCACACTGAGCAGAGCCCCCTGTCCCTCCTGCTTGGAGGCGAGTCCTCACTTCCCACCGTGATGGGCAGTCAGCCTTCTCCCTGCCCCCTGCAGTTCTCTCTCAGTACGTGGTATGAACACCATCAACCAAGCTGCAGATCAGGTCCTCACCCTCAGCTATAGCACTCTCCCCACCCCACATCTACCCAGCCTGGCAGGTTCTCTCCCAAATAGCCCCCAGCTCATCATTCCCTCAATTATCACCACTTCCCACTCGTGTCTCCTTCTCTTTTCTCAGCCTAAGATAGTGTCCCCTTCACCTGTTTTGCCCTCAAGATAAAAATTTTCATTTCTCAAAACCCCCTCCCCCCCTCCCCAATACATGTAGAGGACCATTTCAAGTGGCCAATCCTGAGCTCAGCTTAGAGGTCCCTCTCCTGGCCCTCTTCCTCTCTCTGATTGGGCCCAGCCAGCTGGGTGCCAGTTCCTTCCTCTGTGCCCAGCCCCAGCCTCTCCCCACCTGCCCCTTCTTCAGTGTGTGCACACCCCAAATCCTGCTGCATGCTCATTGAGTGTTTGAGTGTCTAGTGGGCTTATCTTCCCGTACCTCCCTGGGCCCTCCAGCCAGGACACAGTCTCAGTCCACCTAGGACAGGCTCCACATGACACACATTTCACTGGGAGACCACACTGTCCACTCCAGGAGGGCCTCCCTGGGGGCTGGGCAGTATCCATCCTTATTCTGTTTTGTGGAGAGCTGCACTGGCCCCTTCCTTGCACATTCGCGCTGGTTCTTACCCTGGCCTCCCCTCGGCGTGGCCTCCCCTCCCCTTCTCTCCATCACTTCCAGCTCGTTCCCTCTCCCGGGGCTCAGGGACACTCCAGTATCACCAGAGGGGGACAGCATTCCCTGAGTAAGAGCTTGAGCTGTGTAAGACCTCGGACAAGTCAGTTCACCTCCAGAGCCCATCCCAAAATCAGGATTATAATAAAACCTCATCATGGGATAAAAACAAACAAACAACAAAACACCTCACACTATCATGGGGTTAGGAGGGCTGGATGTGTGTAGATATGGGATTGTCAAGGCCATGACCTTCTGGAATCTGATCACCCAGCCTGTTTTCCAAGGTGCCTCTGGATAGGTTAAGCAGACAGCATTTTGATAAGTGTATTTACACACATGCGCACACCCCCTCCCCCAGGGACTCCTGCCTGGCACATAGAAAGCACTTAGCACACAGCGGTTACCATGATTATGTGTTATTAAACTATTAGGTCACCTCTACACTCCCCAGATGGGAAGACCCATGTGGTTTCTCTGTGGTAGTAAAGCCCATCAACAGTCCAGGCAGCCAGTGGGCCCCTCTAAGGGGGCCTGCATGTTCCCTGACATCCCATCACCCCCTGGAGAGCACCTGCCCACCTCTACCCAGTTTCCACATCCTGTACTGGAGGACTCAGAAGTCTAAAATTAAATACGAAGGGCATGTGTAAAGCTCCTTGCAGTGTTTGACGTTTATCAGCGGGTCTCAGTAGGTAAGTCATGGCTTTGAGACTCCGTTTCTTCATCTGTTAAATGGGGCTAATAAGTGTTCTTCCTTCTCAGGGAAAAACAGAATGAGCAGGAAAGCCCATCTTTGAGACTGAGAGGCTTGTCACTGTCATTAACATTAGCATCAAGGTCAAGGAATGGGAGCTTATGACCTTGAGTTTCTTTTCTTGGAGTGAGTAGCGGCTTCTACTGTGCACCCACTGCCCCACCGCCCCTCCTCTGACTGGGGAGGGCCGGGTGCTGGTCCTTGGTGGCCCTGTGACCCTGTCCTCTCTCCCACAGGTGCTGCTGCAGG